ACACACACACACACACACACACACACACACACACACACACACACCCTATTGGTTCTGTTTCTCTGAAGAACCCTCACACAGTCCCTCATGTCATAAAGGACAGTCATCAAATAATCCTATAAATGAACATATAGTTGGAAACTAAGATAAGCCTACTAAAGGAAAGAAACCTGGTTCTATAAGAAGAAAATATGACCTAACTGGGGTTAAGCATTGTGATAAATCTTCCCCCAAAGTGACACTTCAGCCAAGATTCTGGAAGAATAGGAGCTAAGGAGATGAAAGTGGTCGGGGTGGCAGAGAACAATGCAGAGAGAAGTGCAAAAGCAAAGGGAAGAAACCTCATGTGGACATATTCAGATTTTTCCAGTCATTATCCTCTGAGTGATGGGAAACACTGAAAGGAATTGGCCTGGGGATGACATCAGATTTGTATTTTGAAGTCTACTCTGGCTGTTGTGTTAGAAACAGAGAAGAAGGCCAGAGGGTATAATGGTGAATTTGAAGAAAAAAGTGGGGTCAAGGTCAAGGGGTCAATTCATCCAACTGGATGGAAGATAACAGCAGGAAGGCTGGGCAGACCATCATGAATTAGGTCTTAGTGCTGATTTTGAGGTAGCTTTGAACATCTAACTGGAGTCATCATCCTAGACCAAGCCCCCGTGACTTCTCTCCTGGAAATTAACCTCTGAAGAGGTCTGCCTGATTCCACTTTTGCCTCTCTATTATTTATTCTGCACACAGCAGGAAGAGTGATCTTTTTGAAAATGTAAGCAAAATTATATTACTCCTTTGCTCAAAATTCAAATTCTTTTCCATGGCATATTAACTCTGAGGATCTACTATCTGCAGCTCAAACAGGGCTCAGGAGAAGGAAGTTTGTTAGTTATCTGTACAAAATAGTCACCAAAGCCAGGGGCATGAAGGAAATTGCACAGGGAGAAATTACAGAATGATCCATGAGGAAATCCATTATTTCCTGCAATGGAGACAGAGAAGGAGTATTTAGAAAAACAAGAACCCCAGAAGAATGTGGTATCGCTGAAGCCAAGGGGGAGAAAAAAGCATTTTAAGAAAAAATGATCCACAATGTCAAATGCTGTTGAAAGGTCGAGCAAAAAAGACTCACAAGAGGTGTACTGGATTCAGCAGTATGGAGTTTGGTGCCTTTGATACCTTACTGAGCTTGGGCAGAGTGTTTTGGTAGAGCAATAGGACTAGAAGACAGACAGGGTGCAATGAATATGAGGCAAAGAAATGGAGACAGTGAATACAGATGAGTCTTTCCAAAAGTCTGGGGCTATAAAAGGAAGAAGCAATTGGGGTGGGGTGGGGAGAGTGTCAAGGGAGCTTCTGTTGCTGAGATGAAAGAAATCAAATATGTTCAAGTATTGATGGAACAAACTATTTGAAAGATTAATCGAATACACAGGAGTGAGAAGGAATACTTGATAATATACTAAGGTTCAGGAAGAGATGAGAACCAGAGCTCAGATGGAATGTTAGAGAAAGGATACCTCCTACTAGAACAGGTGGGAAGGAGGAAAGCAATGGTTACAGATACAGGTGGTCTTCTGACTTCACAGTGAAAACTTAAGATCATTCCAACTATCCGAACAGAGCTTCAGTTTTCTCTAGAAAGTAGAAGGTGAGGTTGGCCATGAGAGAAAGCACTGGGGAGGCAGAAGTCTGAGGAAAGTAGGAAGGGAGGAAAATACTATCATTCTGGAGAATGAAAGAACAAGCTGATCCGACAAAAGGAGGATTTGGAAGCAGCAACTGGAGCCCCTGGGAGTTGGGTGCTAAATAAAGAATTTGTAGCAGTAGCAACCTGCCTTTTCAGTCACTTTCTTCAGCTGGGTGCAGGCACAAAGATGACAGGAAGTATTTGAAGAGGGTTTGATGGTTAGCAAGTTGATCAGAAATATTAAAGGAACCTGAGACCCTGAAGATTCATTTTATCATAAAGACAATCATGCCCTCCCAAGAAACAAGCTGCTGGTGATATCCACCATCGAGAGAGACTGCCAGACAGAATATTACTCTACATTATAGAATCTACACTAAGTTGGAGATTTTACCCAGGTAGATTTCTGAGTTAAGAGCCTCTGTGGATGAAAGAAGATATTAATAGAAAGCAAAATCTATCTGCACAGTGCAGCAGACAAGGAGAAGTTCTGCCCAGGACCACTGCCATCTTGATACTTCAACAGAACAAAATATATCCAACATTTCTTGTTGGCTTTGAGATCAACTTGTGTGGGCAGAACCACTGCCCCTTTTACAGACTTAATACCTAATCCTAAGTCCAGCCTCAGAGTCAGAGGTGTGTCTTGGGCAGGGGAGGACGGAGGAGCAACCAAGCAAGGAGGACAGCCAGGGAACCAATATTTCATTACGCAATGTATCTTCTTCCTAGCTCTGCTGCCGCACACAATTGTCTTTGTTGAGCACTCATCACTTCTACTCAAGGCCCAAAGCGATGAGACGATTCTATCCCAGTTTGCAAATGGCTTGCATTCCTAGACTTTGGTTCCTTTCTGTAAATAATTAACAGTAATGGTTTATTAAACAGAGTATGGCCTTGCTTATGCTTCATAGACCTCTTGGCACTGAACTCCCTGAGGTTTTGAAGTTTTAATCCAGGTAAACAGCATGAATGCTACCACTTTTCCTCCCAGCCAAGGGCAGCAAGTGGCATCTATTGCAGGTGTCCACAAACTATGGCCTGCAGGTCAAATCCAGCTCATCGCTTGGATTTGTGTGGTCTGCAAGCTAAGAATAACTTCTGTGTTTTTAAATGGTTGAAAAACAACTCAAAAGAATAATAATATTTTGTGACATGTGAAAATTACATGAAACTCAAATATCTGTCTATAATTAGTTTTACTGGAACACAGCAATGCTCATTTATGCATTGTCTATGACTGTTTTCACACTGTAACAGCAGAGTAATCCCCACAAAGCCTAAAACATCTACTATGTGGCCCTGGACAGAATAGCTTGCTGACCCCTTATTTATCATAGCCCCCACCCTTGGCCAAATCCAGGCTGAGACCCTCCCCACTTTTAAATCCAGTGCCTCGGCAAAGTATCAATCAACTGGAACTGGCACCCAGAGCTAATGAAATCCCATGGCCATTCCAGCACCAGGACCACAAGTCTTCACATGTAAGTTGGTAATGCGGTTTATAAACCTGCTACTGGTACTGTTGGAATAATCCTAGCAGATGCCAATCAAAAACAAAGCAATAAGTAGGCTACTTACATTTCCCTATAGCAAGTCAGTTGATCTATACTATAAAGCTAAGGTGGGCTTTTTTAAATAAGCAACACTGTGAAAGTGAAATCAAAAAGGTTGTGATTCATATTGCTCAGAAAACATCCTAAAGCAATGAAGGATGATGTTCCACTTCTTATCTATTGCTTTTCTATTTTCTCTAGCTGGTGTTTCGAGATCAAAGCTTGAGACCAATGCTCAGATGCCCACTGCGATGGCTCTCTGGTTCATGGCAGGCCAGGGAAAGCTATTTGTCCCATCAATGTTGCCTGTTCAACTCTTGTAACTCATACAGTAACAAGACTGGTTTTCTATTAATATAGTAACATTGCATAATATACAATGAGATGTATTTTGTTTGCCTTAAGGATATTAAGGCTGAGATGGCTGCCTATATAGCCATGCAAACTACAAGGCTCAAGGCACATTTAGAACTCTTTCTTTGTGAACAACCTTCTGACCAAGTTGTTGACAAAAAACAAACAAAATGATCCAGTCTCAAAATGTCAGTTGCACTGTGAATGCTGGTTTCTATCATTGATGTCCCTCTGGATGAACCAAACCACCTAAAGACATTACATCCCTTACTCGTCACGATGTCTCATTTTTGTTTGTCTTTAATCTTTGCTGAGTTGCACAACTGTCCAGTTTTGAGTCAGATTTAGTTAGTGCCTTCTGTTAGCATACAGTGTCGCCTCTTCTAACTTAGCTGTTTGTTCAACTAGATCCTGAAACCTCCAAGTCACTAAGATTGTTCTCAATGCCAAACATCATCCCAAATGCCAAACTGAAATCTAATGAACACATTTGAAAAAGCATAAGGATTAGGGCAGTTAAGCACAGTTAAAACTTTTAAGACTTCCTCTCTTCCATAAAGCTAAGAGACTTCGTCTCTTCTCAAGGGCATAAGATACAGTCTTCAGAGCCTCTGACTGTCAGAACAAGTGAAGAAAACAAAGATTCCTCTTCCCAGATTCATACATTCTCATGTCTTTTATAACTATCACAGTGGGATAACATAAAATCTCTATCATTCAATCTTCTTTTTCGAAGATCTTTTAATTCTACCTGCTTGGTAGCCATGTCTCGCAAAACCCACAATCACCTGATTCCCAACGCTGTACGATGCCTCAGTGGAGGTGCCCACGTGCAGTTGAGAGAACACAGACTTACTACATGGTCTCTCTCACTAGTCCATGTGTTTCTCCAGGACAGGATCCATCTTATTCATTTTGCTAGTCTCACAATATTGCCAGGCACACAGGAAAAACTCAGCAATAGTTTATCAAATCCATTTCCCAGGTTGTAACCTAGAAGTAAATTTTAACCCTGATTTTACTTATACCTGGAAGTAAATACTCTCCATAATATAATATGTCCTCTCTTATATTTTTCCTTAGTCTGGCTAGATAAACTTCATTGACCTTTTCAGAATATTGGCTTTTATTTTCATTTATTCCAATTTTTTCCGTTTTCTATTTCAATGATTTCTACTCATCTTTTTATTACTTCTTACATTCTGCTTGATTTGGGTTTATTTTGCTCTTTTTTTTCTATTTTCCTAAGGTGGAAGCTTAGATTATTGATTGGAGACCATTTTTCTTTTCTAATGGAAGCATTTAAGGCTATAAATTCCCTCTAAGCTTTAGCTGCATCCTGCAAATTTTGATATATTTTATTTTCATTCAGTTCAAAATATTTTTAAATTTCCCACAAAATTTCCTCTTTGACCTCTGGAGTATTTATTCATAAGTATATTGTTTAACACTTGGGGTTTTCTAGTTATCTTTCTGTCATTGATTTCTAGTTGAATTCCATTATGGTCACTGAGTGAACTTCGTATGATTTCAAATTTTTAAATTTGTTAAGATTTATTTTATGACTGAGGATATGGTGAAGCTAGGTGAACGCTGCACGAGCACTGGAAAACGATATGTATCCTCCGTATATTGGGAGAAGTGTTCCACAAATGTCAATTATATCCCACTGGTTCATGGTGTTGTTTAGATCTTCCATGTCATTGCTGATTTTCTGTGTAATAATTCTATCGATAACGAAGAGAGGAGTGCCAAAGTCCTCATCGATTATTGCAGATTTGTTTATCTCTCCCTTCAGTTCTACGACTTTTGAATTTTGAACCTCTGTTCTCAGGTACACACACATATAAGACTATAACGCGTTTTTGGTGAGTTGAATCTCTTATCGTTATATAATGTCTTTCTTTATCCCTGTGATTTTTCTTGGTCTGAAGTTCACTGTATCTGATATTAATATATCCACTCCACCTTTCTTTTAAATTGAGCAAACTTGATAAACTCTTAATCCTAATTATTCATTTGCAGGGGTTTTGGTGTTTTCTAGATAGAAAATGATAACTTACAGTTTCTTTCCAGTTTTCATACTTTTTTATCACATTCAAGAACTTTTTTATGACTCATCCTTAGAAGGACAGGGATGGATATGTCACATTCCTATCCTAATATAAGCCCTCATCACATTCTACCCAAATGAATTTAAAAGCTTCCTCCTATTTTGGCCTAAAAGCTTGTGCAGCAGTTTTAGCAGAGGGTTGTAGGGTTACTTTTACACTTTCTCAACTGGGGAAGTTCACCTTCCTTGCTCAAGCCCATAGCTTCAACCTGAATAAAAGAGGAATGCTGAGGAACACAGAAAGCCATTCCTCACCCCACCCAAGTACGCCTAAAAATTCAGAGGCTCAACAAGCTCTGCCTTCTATTTGACATTTCTTTGCTGACCTCCTTCACTCTAGGCTCCCCTTTTTCAATCCCCCTTGTACACTGCAGCTAAGGCGCTTTCCAAAACAACAATGCCTATAACCTCACTCTCCCTTTCGATCACCTTCAGTAACTCCCACTGCCTGGCAGACCCCATCTCAACCCCTGTGCTCAACTTCCACAGCTCCCCAAAGCCCCATCTCCCAACGTTAGACCTCCCATCAACCTCCACAATATCGACTTTATTCTTTTTTGAGACAGGGTCTCACTCTGTGGCCTGAGCTAGAGTGCAGTGGTATCTTCATAGCTCACAGCAACCTCAAACTCCTGAGCTCACGTGATCCTCCTGCCTCAGCCTCCCCAGTAGCTGGGACTACAGGTGTGTTCCACCACACTCAGCTAATTTTTCTATTTTTTTGTAGAGATAGGGTCTTGCTCTTGCTCAGGCTGGTCTTGAACTCCTGGCCTCAAGTGATCCTGGCCTCCCAGAGTGCTAGGATTACAGGTGTGAGCCACTGCGCCTGGCCTCCCACTTCCTTCTAAATAGTTCCATCTGTCCCATTGACTGTGGAACACAAGATCTATTCCCAACCTTCTGTACTTGGTTCCCTTCCTATGGACTGCCTGCTCATCTCCTTATTAACTATGAACTATTCTTAAAGGCTTGCTTTCAAGTTCTATCTCCTCCATGAAGCTTTTCAAGCCATAAAAGGAGAGGAAAGAGAGTTTTCAGTTTGTAGTGTTATTTGTAGCTGGTGGCCTGTGGACGCACCAGTTTGGGACCTGGGCAGTGCCTGGATTCAGCTGGGTTCTAGTCTGCTGCTTATTTACTTGAGTTGGGGCAAATCTCTCATCTTCTCCTGACAGGTTCACTCTCCTATAAAGTGGAGTCATGGGAGCTCTAATTGCATTATAGTTTATACATCTATCATAGTCCTCAGTGATCCTTCCACTGTCCCACTGAAATCCTTCTGACCTTTTAGTCATTACCTCTTTGTTATATGCTACATTGTCTTGTTCTCTATTCCAGCCTTTTCTACCCCTCCAAGACTATTTCTGTATTTCTCCCAGTACGGAACACAATAAACATTTATTGGCTATGGGGGAAACTGCTTATTTCCCTCACAGAATGGGTACAAGGGGGTACTTTTGCAAGGAAACACAATAGGCCCCTGTGTAGCAGACTGCACATTCTAAATGCCTACTACCGACAGCTGTAGGGGACCCTGCTTCTCCTCCCTCCCCTTCTATATTCCACAGGATCCCAGGAGACTCGGAAGAATCAAGAAAAACAGGACACGAATCTTTTTTAAAAGTCAAAAGAACAACCTTCGGCAGAGACCTTTTGTCCTCGGTTACCTGTAAAGCCAGGAGACAATGGAAGTAAAGGCAGGTGGGAGGGGTTTCTATGAGATTGAACCAGGGTTTCTGATGTCCGGGGAGGGGGTGGGTAGGTGCACGGAGCGGCAAGGAAGCCGAATGGTTTCCTCACAACAGCCTGACCCTAACGGGTAAGCACGATTCAGAATACACACCACTTTACGATGTGTGGAAAGTAAAGGAGAATTTTTTCCAAAGGTAAAGAGAAAGAATAAATCAAAAGTAAAGATAAGGAGAGAGCAGGAGATAAAGGGGAGTAGAGAAAAACAAGAGGGGACCTCAGAGGAGGAATGTGCCAGGTAGACGCGAAGAACTGAAAACATCTGTCACATGTATGTGCGGGGTGTATCTATGCTTGCACGTGTGCACACATACATGCACACGTTATGTGCATACACATACACCTACCATACATATATTTGTTTATATTTAAATATCAGCTTCTTGTCTTTCGTTCTGGCCTCAGTTCAAGGAGGAATTAATCTGCATAGGCTCAAGTACAGCAGAGTTACAAAAGCAAGCTTGGGAGGCGAACGCATGATGACAGGAGTGGGTGTGTGCCTTGGCATGCCCCTCACCACCCAAGGGTGAGCAGATCAGAATCTGAAAGACCCCAATGCGAAGAGCATACGCATTTCACGCTTATCAAAAACGGACCTTAAGAAAGCCTGACAAACACTGCTGTAGACAATTAAGCCTTTAGCCAGCAACAGAAAGACAAAACATAATAGATAACCCTAACAGAGAAGAAAGTGACTGTTCTTTGAATATTAAGAAGAAATCCCAAAATCTGACCCCAAAGGGGTAAGGTCAAAGGGGCTAGTGAGCCACGACGGCAGCAGGTGGAGTGAGTGTGTCCCAGTTCCACACCAGCACTTGCCACGGCCCAGGAGAAACGCCAGTCTCCCTGCAGCCGTCTGGGAATAACTTGCCACGAGTCAGTCCTGGTTGGTGGCGGGTGGCTTGCCCGCCTATGACCTTGCATTTGTGCTTGCTGAATCGTGAATGATTATTTCTGCGGCTCCTTACAGCAAGCAAAGCAAATTCATAATATGAGATGTGGCGTGGGCAGGACGGTGCACAGCAGCTCTAAGGCGATGGCCTGACTGCGCTGGCGGACTGTGAGAGGTGAGGAAGTCTGCGTTAGCAGGGGTCCAATCAGGCCCGGGCCCCGGCATGTCTGCCTGGCACCTGCCATCGCTGAGTGAGGGGATCGATAAAAGTAATATTCCAGATAAATAGAGACTTTTACAGAACAAAGTATGACTGCGATTTTTTTCAAGTCTGCAGCTTTTGTTAAAAGAAATAAGGTATTTGAAAATGCAAAAGTAAGGTCAGTTAGAACAGGAACTTATTTTTAAAAACGAGTTGAAACTAGCTTGTGCATGCAGTGAGAAATGTAGTCATGCAGAGGCACTGTTGGCAATTTCTTATATTCTTCCAGAGATGTCCTATACGTTTACAAGCATGTTCACTGTGTGTGTCTAGGAGCCTGCTCACCCCCCCACGCTCTACAGAAATTAGGTCACATACATATACAATGTGCTGCATCTTGCTCTTCTCCCCTGTCAGTGTATCTTGGAGATGGCCGCATATTGGTGTATTTGGATCTGATCCAAGTGATATTTCATCTATAGATCTCTCATAATCAATTTAATGAGTAATTTTTTGAGGAATAAATTCTACGCACATCCAGATCCACGTCTTAGATTTACGTGTCTCCTTTTCTGTAGTGCCCTTTGCTATCTCGAATCTTCCATTATATCTTTCTCTCATCTCCATCTGTCAAATATCCCATGTGTCCCCTTCCAAAGTCCCACTGAAATCACCTTTTGTTCCTTGAATCCTGGCTGATTACTGAAGCCACAGAGGATTGCTCTGTCTCCTGATCATTCTAGCATTGCATATTATCTTAGGGCATAAGTGAAAACCAGCCTCAGATATCTGCAGTGTATTTAGGGCTTATTT